TCGACGGTAGCCTTGTCCCTTTGTTCCCCGCTTGAAGAGACATTCGCATGTGATTGACGATTATTACCAAATGCATGGTGGTTGGTAAGTTGGTACTAAATATTTGACGCTTTTGGATAGTGCAGGCCTCAGCACTCATCACCTTAAAAGTACACGCACTGCGAGCAATTTCCCAGCGCCACAGGTCATGTTAAATTTAGGTTACCGTCGTAATTAAATCCCAGTGATATGCACCAGCTGTGGCCTACTTTACTCCGCTCATCAACTCTGTATCCACATGGGGCGAGACACGCGTGATATTTTAAAATAGCGAGCTGCTCATGCCGCATGAGCGGCTCGTTAATTTTCCGCCGTCAAGAGTAACAAATTATCCTAGACGACACCCATTACATATTTATCCGGTTAGTCTCCAGTGATTCAATAATTTGCGTTCGCACTCGACTACCAGCTTAAAATCTAAAGAGCTGAAGTTTAGAATAACTCACTTTTATTGTAGGTCACTCACTAAAATCTAAACCTTTTGAAAGCTACCGCATTTTTAGGTCAGGCTATATGCTGACATGTGTCGTCATTTATGAAACATTGCAGTCTGCATGCCCAAAAAAAGTCGATGGGAACTTCAAGTAGATGCTTCTTTTAGAAAAAAGCTTTTATAAGAATAAGTAACAAAATTTAATGAGGAATAGCATTTCAACATGACCTCGCTAGACCTTCCCGCTTCCTGGCCCGACAGGTTCTCCCTTGACCTTGACTCAAGAGCCAAGTCCATGAATATTCAAATCAACAGCTCAAGTAAGCAGAAAGTATACACTATACAATATACATACAGGGTGGACCAAAAAGGATGGAAACATTTTAAACTCGTATAAAAACATGTATCATTGCATGCATGTGACTGGGAATGATACCAAACAAGAGTACATTTCGTGGAAATTCATAATGGCATCACTCTCATGTGCTTTCTCTCGTTTTCAGTCTCTCACAGCAAATGTTCGAAGAGACCGCCTTCGCGAGACAGGCACAGAGCGACCAGCCTGGCGGCTGACACGATAGCCCGCTTGTATGGCTCACACAGCCTTGCTGATCGCTCTCTTCAGTTCAGAGGCTTTCTGGACCTTCCTTGTAGACCTGGTCCTTGAGATGACCCCACAGTAATACATCCATAGGGGTCAGGTCGGATGAGCAGGTAGGCGAGTTCCGACTGGCACCGCAGGATATCAGCCGGTCAACGAAGTGGTTTTCGATGCACTTGAGCATTGTTTTCGCGATGTGAGGAGGCGCACCGTCTTGCTGGAACCACATAAGGCCTATGATGAGGCTGCCATGCTTCGTTTGGACTCGCTCTCAGAACTTCCTCAGCGCCGCCTGGTATGCGCTGTTGATTGACGGTCACAGTGTCGCCGCTCCCTTCCTCGAACCAAAGTGAACCACGATTCCTTTTCCGCTGAGGGCACACCATTTCGGTGACCTTGCTGCTGTGCAGTGACTTCTTTATCATCTCATCTTAAGGGGCCAGGTCTACAAGGAAGGTCTCTGTGACCTGAAGAGAGCGATCACCAAGACTATGTGAGCCATACCAGCGAACATGTGTCGTCGGGCTATCGCGTTAGCCACCAGACCGGCCGCTCTGTGCCTGTCTCGCGAAGGCGGTCTTTTCGAACATTTGCTGTGAGAGACTGAAAACGAGAGAAAGCAGATGAGGGTGATGCCGTTATGAATTTCCACGAAATGTACTCTCGTCTGGTACCATTTCCAGTGACATGCATGCAATAATGCATGTTTTATGCGAGTTCAAAATGTTTCCATCCTTTTTGGTCCACCCTGGAACGCAAATGGACGTGATATTTGTGAGCGCAGTAAAATAACTGCTCGTAAAGCTATTTTGTGGTAAGGCCGTTGATCAATTATCAGGGGGTATATAGTGGTCTATGTCAGAGGTCATTAATTGACTATACGTTTTATATTTTATTTTTTTTACCACTACCAATCATTGTGTCTCCGATCTCAGAACACCTGCGACATGACTTTTCCGCAAAACATGTGCGTGATTAGTGGGACAAATGAGGCCTTCCATCGTTTGCCCTCGTCTCTCCGTCCCTGAAGCCATACATGTAGCGGTATGTAGAAACTGATAGGTCCGGCAAGGCTGATATCAAAGTAAAAAACAACTTGACGTTCAGTCAATCAGCCTGTCTGGTGCTCTGGCATATTTGTGCCATCATAAAGGAGGGTCAAATGGCCACTGTCGGCCCGTCGTGAGCTTTACTGAGGATCAATCTATCTATCTCATCGATTAGCGATAAGAACACAAATAATGAAACCTTCGCGCCGGTGCAGAATGCTTTGCAGTATGCCTTGATGGGCAATGTATCAAGTGCACACAACTACAAGGGCAAATGCGAAGACTGTCAGTGAAATATTCGATTCAGATGTATCGAGCCGTAGTTCCTAAAATTGGGACTCACTACCTTTTTTTCAAGAATGCGCCAATCAGTCGTTTGTGTTATTATTTGCATGGTCGACATGTGAGGTGTAAAAAGCCAACCGGCCGAATGCTCCGGCCAAAGAGCACGCGCTGAAAAAAACTGTTTGATCGGCATACGTTCACAGGTAGAGATGAACATGGCATAAGTGGCAATGATGGAACTTTGCCGGCTTGTCAGTGATGTCTGATGAGGAATAAAGGATCATTAGCTGGCGTATTCCTAAGGTGTAACCAGTAACAGTGAAGTGTATAAACTTCTGTTGCTGTATCGGTGTAGCTGCTCCCCATGCGCTCTCATGAAGCCACAGTAGCCACAGAAAGCATATTAGCCCACAGGGCGAGGATCAACCGCGGACTATAATAGACCGTTCAACTGCGAACCCTGGCCCTATGAACTCACCAGCCCGGGTCAACTGATGCCATTCGCCTTGCGGAAGGTGCGTTTATCTGGCTGAGCTGATGTATAAGGCACTAGACAAGCCTGAACAAATTGCCTGTATATGTGTTCACACACTGACGAGGAAGCCTTGCCAACCGTGGTGCATGTGTTGTGAGCCTAAATCCCAACCTTATATGCATTTTATTGGACAAATGCGACACGCGCACGCTATGGATATTAGCGTCACTACCAATGGCTAGCTAGCCATTACGAGACTTTGGACGCTAAAATTGATTACTTCCATCCTCGAGCGCTGACCGGCGATTTAATGATAATCAAATATTAGCTTCTGGCCAGTATTTACGAGAGCAGGAGCGTGTATGTGCATGGTTCCGTGTCGTTTCAGTGTGGACTGAGGGGAGCGTTCGACCGGCTCGAAATGAGATTCGTCAGGGAAAGACAAGGTTTTTACATAATCGTTCGTGTTGCTGCTGCCCATCATTTGCGAGCGAAATTAAATGGTATGATGATTGATGTGGCTGGAAATTCAAAGTGTAACGTGCCGGCGCCGCCGCTCGTGATAGCGCTAGCTTTGGGTCGTCGCTATCTCCGTTCCTCCGCTCATACGCGGGGTGTCTCGGAAGGGAGGTGTATTGAAGCAGAGCGATGGTGAGGTGAGGAGGCAGTTGGCGAGGTGGCGAGTTCGTTCCGGAAACACCGGTAGAACTGTGTGTGCAGCCGGGTCCCGAGCTGAACTGTCCGAGGCTCGGAGCGGGGTGTCTATTTCCCTAAGAAAATCGCTCCATAACTCGTGATGAAATAGAGCTAGTGCGCCGCTGCAAAGCACATTGGAAAGTATATTCAACTCTCTTTCGGCAGTGAGTTTGGAGGTTTTATGTTATCAATGGTCTGCCCTCCAGAAAAAAAAAGTTGTCATTGTTGAAAAGTTGTTTTGGTTTCCATTTATTCTCGAAAAACGCAGAATTTGTCGATTTCTGGCGCTGCGGGGGAATGTCGGGGTATTTTCCCCAAATGCCCCCCCCCCCCCGGATCCGTCAGTGGCTGACCAGCTTGCGGCGTACCCAGATGGTCTGGACTATGTTACGAACTACCAAGCTGTTACACTCAGCGCCGGAGCGTCGGAGTGCATGGAGCAGGCTGGACTCAGATCCGAAGAGCAGCTGGTGTGAACAGCTATATGATTACCTAAGTAAAATTTAAATAAAATTCAATCAGGCTTAGCGTTACAAAATAGCTACAATCTCCAGCGGAATAGAGCTTATTTGTTCAATCGTCGTGAATTGTTGTTTTGGAACGTGCAGGGGATGGTCCGCGTAAATCGTGTGTCTACATGTACCAGGTTGTGTGAAAATACGCAAGTCTCCATTGCCGTGATGAGAAACGCCTACTTTTTCAAACATATAATACACATTACACATACAAAGCTCCACATGACATCGTTTACAAAGATAGATGTGTTTTGTGCACTTTGCGATGCGCAGATAGCATTTTACAATACCATATATGTACATGGCTGACTCCAGGGGCGGATCCAGAAAATCTCCAAGGGAGGGGCCATTAGAAACCAGGAGGCCCCCCCCCCATAATCCCACCTGTTGGAGGCCCCATCTTCCCACTTGTTGGGCCCCCCCCCCCAAAAAAAAAACTGCGTCTATTGAGCTTATCTAGCTGTTCAGGCAACATCTCAACATCTGTGCAGGCTTGGAGGCCCTCTGTGCAGGTTAGGAGGCCCTGTAAAAGTGGTCATCTCTGTGAGTATAAGAGGCCTCCAAGTTATGAAAAGCTTTACCAATCTTCTAACAAAGAAGTCTTCTCAGCTAGTCTTCTAAGAAATAACTAAGTGAGTAGGTTTAAAAAAAAAAAACTCATCGGATTTCGGCCACTTTATTTTCAGGAGGCCCCCTTTTCAGCTTTTTAACTTTTTAACTTTTTATTTTATTTTTGAAAAAAAATCGGCCAAGGGGGGGGCCATGGCCCCCATGGCCCCCCCCCTTGTATCCGCGCCTGGCTGACTCACATGTCGCTTTATAGACATGCACGCATATCACCAAACATCGCTTCAAATCTGGGAAGTCAGTCATGATCACCTCCACGCCTCACGCATTATGGAAGGGATCAGAGTACCGCGACCGCCTCGCCTGCCTGGACATTGTTCTGGACCGGCGCCGTTTCGGCGGGTCCGGTGTTCCCGCAGGTGGTGCGCAGGTCCACCAGCTCGGTGTTATTCTGGAAGGTGGCCCTCGAGGGCAGGTCCTGTCTTATCTGTGTCTCCGGCTCTAGCGCCGTGCGAGTCGTGGAGAGGTGGCGGGTGTCAGAGAACGCGCACGACATCGCGCGGCTCCGACTCTGGCGTCGTCGACGGAAGCAGGGCAGGATGTCTTTGAACTCCTTGCGGAAGTTCTCGTTGAGCCAGGCGTAGAGGAACGGGTTGTAGCAGGTCGAGCTCATGGCGATGGCGTGCGTGACGAAGAAGAGCAGGTGGAAGTAGGGCCAGCGCGCCCAGCCGAGGCCCAGGTTGGTGGACACGTCGTCCAGGATGTTCATCAGGTTGAGCGGCAGCCAGGAGAGGCCGAACACGGCCACCATGGCGATCAGCATCCGGTTGGTGCGCCGCTTCCTCTCGCGGTCGGCCTGCTCCTTTCGCAGCGTCTTGGAGCCGGGCTTGCAGCGCGCCCGGCTGGAGAGCTTCAGCGAGATGAGCGTGTACGTGCTGGTGATGATGAGGAACGGGATGACGAACTGCAGCACGGTGGTGATGCTGCCAAACGTCAGCCGCACCTGGCCCGGGAAGTTCTCCTGGCACACGTAGATGTCGTCGTAGACGGTGTACTCCACGAAGACGGCGTACGGCAGAGAAGCCACGATGGAGAAGAGCCAGGTGCAGATGATGAGCCCCACGCACATGGTTTTGCTCATCCGCTGTCGGAACGGGTGGATGATGACTACAAACCGGTCGATGGCGATGGCAGTCAGCGTCAGGGAGGAGATGTAGATGCTGACGGCCTGCGTGCAGGTGACCAAGTGGCAGAGAAATGCGCCAAAGATCCAGCGCTGGAGGAACGTGTAGAGGGGCGTGAAGGGCACGCAGAGCACGCAGAGTAGGATGTCGGAGAGCGCCAGGTTCAGGATGAAGTAGTTGGTCACCGTCTGCATGGCCTTGTTGCGGAACACGGCGTACATCACCAGACAGTTGCCGGTGATGCCCAGCAGAAGTATCGCCGAGTAAATGACGTAAAAGCCGGCCTGTATTCCCGGCTGGAAAATCAGGTATTCTTCACCACCCTCTTGAGACGTATTTCCGACACTTGGTGTTGTCAAATCGCCTGGAAGAATGTCAGGCGCGGCACTCAGCGACGCCCCAGAGACAAAGCCAGTGTCGCTGCCGTTATTGGCCATTCTGAGACGGGCGACTGTCTCAGTTTATTGTCCCCAGTGAGCTGTTCTTCCCGTTGATCCTATCTTTCTGCTCACTGATCTGGTGACTGGATGGCGGCACAGAGCAGAGTGGATCCACGTCCGACACCTCACCGTCCGACCACAGCCACTGTTCTGGGTCGAGCCGAGAGTGTCCGGTCACAGAGCGGCGCGTCCACCGCCCTGCCGTCGGTGCTCACCGTCGGCACCGTCAGCACCAACTGACGACCGTCCGTTGCCGCCGGCCGCCGACCGACGACGACCGACGACCGCCGACCGGACCCACATACATACAGTGCCCAGGGCGGTCGTACCATCAACGACAGCCGATACCGGCCAGCAGCCCGCATCCTAGTGATAGGAAACCGCGGAGCTGGCGTCCGACCCGCTTCATGGATTTTACCTAGCTGCCACGTTAGCGTTTACTGAGTGTTGGAGGAGCTGTCAGTCATATCAATGGCTGTAAGTGTCAAATTAATCGGTCATTCGGTGTTGATGAGGGAAGTGTTGATTTCTTTCTGGAGAGTGGAGACAGTAGCGGCGGGACATCTTCAATTAAGGGCAGGCACTGCCGACTTTTGGTCCCATTCTTTCCATGCAATGCCCATAGGACTAATGTTAAAATACCAAAATCAAAGGGGGGCACGGTGCCCCGGTGCCCTCCCCGTTCCGCCGCCTATGTCTGGAGATGAGTTCACTTAATTGTAGAGAGCAGTACGCTTATTTTCCGCTAAGTTCTATATCGAGTATGGCGTGGTGGAGGGAGAGGAGGGAGTTGAGCTGGAATTATGAACGGAAGCTGGAGCAAAGGGATAAAGATCAGGATCGAATCCTGGTTGTGCTTCTTGACGACAGTGGTTCTGAGAAACACTCTGCTTATATGTATGTATGTATGACCATTGACCAGGATCAATGCAGCAGTGCAAACAGCTGAGTTCAGTGCTCACAGAGACTGGTAATTTCAATGGGGAACATTCTGGCACAAGGCCCACGCGGCCGTTTGCATAAATCATGTGCATGATGACAGCAGCCGTCACAGTTCGTGATAAATCCAATCTGACAATCTCGTGTCTCATCCATGGCATTATTTGAGCACTTCTGAGGAAACGGACCGAGCCTCAGGACATCACGTGACTCCAAAGTGTCCGGGCTGTCCAGACCCATTTAATTATCTCATATGAGGGCACTGAACTTTCAGGTGAGAATCTCATCACGGGCACGAGCCGTTGACCTGATTGCTGTTCTGTCGCTCGACTCGGCGCCGGTTCGGCGGAGGGCTGCTGGTGCGGTTCGTCGCCGGCCGTCCACCGGGACGGCACCGGCCCAGCACCCGATGTCCCCCCAGGGGGTCTTTGGGAGGTGTCTCCGCGAGGCTGCCGACCGTGGCGAGCGCCGAGCACGGCCGAGCACGGCCCAGTACGGCCGAGCACGCCCGGTCGGCCGCCGTGCTCAGTTGCAGGCCACCACGGAGTGTTTCCGCTCTCAGAGCTGAAAGTTTGAGGTGGCTCACACCTGGCCGCTCCCATGCGGAGTTGGCTGTCCAATAGGGTTGTTAAAAAAACCGGTTTTTGGAAAAGTATATGGGCTCATGGCTCATGTGGTGCGGTATTCTTTTCTGAGTCCAATGATACCATTTTTTCCGAAAAGTATTACTGCTAGGCGCTGCTCAAACGGCTTAAAGAGGACCATGTTACGCCCGCCGACCGGCCGGTGTCAATAAGGGCGAGAACTCGACGCCGCGCGCCGGCGGCAGCGCCTTATCGGCACCGCGCGCCACGGCATCTGCCGGGCGGCCGGCTGGGCAGTGGGAAGTTACAAGCGCGTGGTCTTATTGCACACGATCAGGGTGAGCTGTCCCATGTTTTCGGGGCGGAAAGCTTCAGCGCAGCATCGGTGCGGCTGCTGCGGTGGTCTGTGTCGATGATACAGAAAATAACTCAAACAGAGCTCAGAAAAGACTGAACGATTCCGGATAGTTGCCTCGAAACAATCCGTTTCAAGAATACAGCTGCCTTCTTAACGTACTGTATCACTTTTTAATTCTTTTTAATTCTTCAAAAAGCAAGCTCTGAGCAATAACAGACTCATGGGTGTAACTTTGTATACTTTCGAGGTCCCATGTGGGACCCCAGTGCGAACATTTGGGACCCCAATTGTCATTTTGGGACCCCAATAGTGGAGGCCCCCGAGACGCACCAGCTACTTTACAAACGGAGGTCCGATGTTCATATAGAAGGTTCTCTGTATAAATAGGAGGCCCCTTGGACAATTCGGAGGCCCTGTTGGACAAATGGGAGGCTCCCTGGACAAATAGGAGGCCCCCTGAGCAAGTAGGAGGCCCCCTAAACAAGTAGGAGGCCCCATGGACAAGTATTGGACATAGGAGGCCCCCTCTGTACGAATAGGAGGCCCCCTGGGTCTGGACAAATAGGAGGCCCTAGACCTAGACAAACAGGAGGCCCCTTTCACAAAAGGAGGCCCCCTGGCCAATTAGGAGCCCCCTGGACAAATAGGAGGCCCCTTTCACAAAAGGAGGCCCCCTGGACAATTAGGAGGCCCCCTGGACAAATAGGAGGCCCCCTGGACGAATAGAAGGCCCCTGGATAAATAGGAGGCCCTCTGAACAAGAAGGAGGCCCCCTGGATAAAGAGGAGGCCCCCTAAAAATAGGAGCCCTCTGGATAAATAGGAGGCTACTTTAACCAATAGGAGGCCCCCTGGACAAATAGGAGGCCCCCTGAACAAGTAGGATGCCCGCTGGACAAATAGGAGGGCTCTTGGGCAAATAGGAGGCCCCCTAGGAAAATAACAGCCGCTTGGACAAATAGGAGGCCCCCTGGACAAATAGGAGGCCCCCTGTACAAATAGGGGGCCTCTTGAACAAATAGGAGCCCCCATGGACAAGTAGGAGCTAGAGGCCCTCTGTACGAATAGGAGGCCCCTGAACAATTAACCCTCGCCCATGTAGGGGGGGGGGTTGGTGCAACCCCCCCCCCTGAGGTTTTTCTTAGCTACACGCCGAACCGTTTCAGATAGCCTGCTCAAATTTTCAGTACCCTTTGGGGCATCCTTTGCGCAACTTTTGGTAAAAATTTTTTGTCAAGGTCATGTCAGGTCACGGAGTTATGACGTCATAAAGGGAACAACCTCCGGCCAGATTTACGCTAAATTGGAGATTGCTTCACAATGGTATAAATGCCGACTGACCTGACACACTGATGGATTGTTTTAGAATCATAACTGGCTGATTTGACATTGGCACAATGTCCGTTGACCTTTTCAAGGTTACTAAAGGTCAAGGTCAGGTCAGTGACCTCGGTTGACCTGTAATGACTTCTTGCACTTGTATGCCTTTTCGGGGTATTTTGATGCCCTGAATTCGAATTTGCTATCCATTTCAGGCATCGTCAGTTGTTTCTTGTAGTTCATTTTGGGTCAGGGTCAGGTCAGTGACGTCACTCGCCTGACGTGACCCAATGCACAAATGACCTTGCAGACTTCCGATGCTCCCAACGCATCATTTTTAGAGTTATGGCATCAAAATACACACCAAACGATAGAGAATTGATCAAGGATCACGATAGTGAAGGTTTCAAGTCGATATCTCTTACCGTTTTGCCGCAATCGGCGCGGAAATATGAAAAAGTTAGATTTTTCCGAAAATTTGACCTTTGACCGGTCATAAGTAGGTCAAATGTTGACCTAAGACCAAAAAATATACCACCAATCGCGAGATCTCGTTGAGAGCAATCCGTTGGTCTTTTCCGCTAAGCTCTACGACGCTCCGTTTTCAAACGCCAGGGGGGGGTCGCACCAACCCCCCCCCCCTGCATGGGCGAAGGTGGCAAAACACCGTTTACGGGCGAGGGTTAAAAGGCTCCCTTAACAAAAAGGAGGCCCTTCAAAAAAGGAGGCCCAAGTAGTAGACCTCTGGACAAATAAGAGGCCCCTGCACAATTATGAGACCCCTGGTCGAATAGAAGACCCCTGGATAAATAGGAGGGCCCCTGGACAAATAGGAGGCCCCTGAACACGTAGGAGGCCCCCTGGATAAAGAGGAGGCCCCCTGGAAAATAGAAGCCCCGTGGATAAATAGGGACCTTCTGGACAAACAGGAGGCCTCCTGGACAAATATGAAGCCCCCTAGACGAATAGGAGGCCACTTGGACAAATAGGAGGCGCCATTAACCTATAGGAGGCCCCCTAGACAAATAGGAGGCCCACTGTAATAGTAGGAGGCTCTCTGTACGTACAAATAGGAGGCCGGCGCTCGACCTGTAGAAGCTTAGCTGTATGTACAAAAAGGAGGCTCTCTGTGCAAGTAGTCGAAGTAGGAGGCTCTCTGTACTGTATGTACGTACCTACAAATAAGAGGCCCCCTGGGCAACTTAGAGGCTAGGTACACAAATCGGAGGTCACCTATAAAAAGCGGGACTCTGTTGGAATACCTGTTTGAATAAATTGTTTTCCTGATATTCAAATTATTTAATCCTCGCCCGCACATGGAGGGCAGTGGTTGCCACCCCCCCCCCAGGTTTTTTTCTGCTCTGCACTCAACATTTTGATTGCTAGAAGCCGGATGTTTCGCATAGCTATAGCTGCTTCTCTATCCTTTCTTAGCGTCCATTGAAAATTCCAAGTTTCTGTGGTTTTGGTTTCGGAGATATGATCTTATTCTTCAGGTGATGTCATAACCCAAGTGACAAATACCCAATATCTTGCGATGCCTATGGGTCTTATGAGCTTTTGACACCTTGATTTCGGCCTTTTTTGCCAGTCTTACCTCCCACCTATCATGGAACATGTTGTTCGATGATGTAGAGACGCTAGGGTCAGGGCCAAGGTCAGCCTCGGTCATCTAAAAATTTTGCGTTT